GGACTACAGTTAAAAATTGATCCGCGAAGTAAATGCTGCACGAAGTGAACAGAACAGAACAGCCGACGGATTTTGGTCATATCAGGCAAATCCCAGCTGTGCCAATAATCGACGGCCCATCGTTCACAGTAGCAATTTTACGAGCCTCGTTATCACTCGCACGGATACCGAGCGGTATCACCGAAAAGCGTTCTCTCTCACGCACCCCTCCCCTCCCTCCCAATCCGGACAGCTGTGGTTCCAAGCGGGACTAATTCATGGATCGGCGAGAGATTAATAGGTAGAGAATTAAAAGTGCCGTCATCGTGCTGTCATGTGGATATTACAGCGCGACGGAAAGAAAATGTTTTTTTATCCATGTTCGTTATCCACGCGCGTTCATTTTCAATTGCGATCAAAATAGAAAAAATAGAGAGAGAGAGAGAGAGAGAGAGAGAGAGAGAGTGAGAGAGAAAGGGAGAGAGAGAGACAGAGAGAGATTTGTAACTTATACATTCACACTCATGTAAAAATAGTACAACGATTATAGATTTCTAAAAGAATTTGATGGATTGAAAAGAAAAATTTGCTCGGTTTTTAATATTCGCGTGCGCAAGAAGATCGAAGACGCGCATTCGTGCGCGCTCGCGTCGTAAAAAGGACGAATTAAAGAGAAATCGAGTTTTTTCAGTTTCTTTTTAAATATGGCCTCACGTGCGTTGGCTGAAAGAATAAATTTTCCTTCGACATCGATGCGCTGTGTCGTGCAATCTTCTATCTCCGCGCTTATCTTCTTTTTTTTTTTAATTTGTTCGGGCGGATCTATTGTACATTGATGAAAAAAATTGCACGTATCGTATGATATTGCACGACGGCGGAGTCCCTGGCGTGAATTTCAATGACGGATCGCTCGATGAGTTCGGAGGATCGTTCTGTTTTTTTCCCCTCAAAGAGATTTCCGAGAAAGAATATTTCTCGCATAACCTTATTATTATATCCAACGCGCGTTGGAAATACAAATTTATATTTACCCTCGGCTCTTCCTCGACCTCTGCGATCGCAATGCGCGATGGGCACCCGCCATGATGCGGTTGCTACGTGTATATAAATGGCGCTATTACAAATAACAGGGATGCCTAACGCGCGTAACCGAACCAACGACGTGACACCTGAAGAAATGGCTCAGGTGCGTACTCATTCGTAATCGTGCCGAAAGCGGCGTGATGCATCGGCCGATTTATCACCGCGATTGCACGCACATCGCGCCGATCGTTGCAACAGACAAACGACTTTTAACGATTGAGCCTCGTATCCGGCGCTGGACGCGGTTTCTCTTTCGAATCTGCGACTGTGAATTCGCCCACGATTCCGCAAGCGCAACTGGAAGTATCGAAGTTACAAAGAATTGTCGTTGACACGCGCGACCGATCGATGAAGCTGGCGCGAAGACTCGCGTCGACGACTATCCGAGCGTAAAAACACGGACGATTATTCGGATGTGTACATAACCGCTCGAACTGGCGAGGGTGGTGCGCGACGGTGGTGGCATGTTCCTGTTGGTGAATTTTCAGCCGGTCCGAAGGGGAAGGCGAAACGCGCGAGAAAAGTTGCGAGAAGCGATCGGTGCCGTCCGGCGCGTACTGTTCATGACCGGTCCGGGGAAAACTTTGATCGTTCGCTACAAAGCGAGTTCCAAAAAGCCGGAAGGGTTGGCGCGGGAGGGTGCTGGAGAAGCCAGCGGGCCGCGGGAAAAATAGAGAAACACTTGTACGCAAGAACGAACATGTCCCCCATCTTGCCCGTCCCCGTGGGATGTTTCCGAACTTGGGCAATAAGACGGCAGTCAGTTGCAGAAGGTTGTGGATAGTTTCGGGAACTTGTGCGACGCAGCAGCAGCAGCAGCAGCAGCAGCCGTAGCCGTAGCCGTACTATGCTCCGTGCCGTCTCCCTATATTTCGGTAATAATCCGTTACTATTTATTAACCCATTCTCTTCGCCCCCTTCTCCGTCCTTCTCTCTTTCTCTCGCTCCCTCGACTTGCTGCCGACTTCTTTCCACCTCGTTCGCTCTTCTCACCTTCGCTTATCGAAAGCGAGCGAGGGTAAACTCGGAAATGCCAGCTCCCGCGTCTCACGGGATCCTAACAGAAATTATTAAAGAATCCGAGAGTGCGAAGGGGGAAGAGAGAGAGAGAGAGAGAGAGAGAGAGAGAGAGAGAGCCCGCGGGCGCACCGTAAATCTCCTCATTTCCAAGCTTCGCTAAGTCCCCAGAAAAATAAATATCGTTACTGGCGTGCGCGCGTGTGCGGTGTATAACGCGGCGTGTAATGCGTTTAACTCCATCGGAATTATTTCGTGATCTTGCGATCTTTCGTTGCCGGTTATACCCAACGGAAATTACCGGCGAAATACCTTTATGAGAATTCACGTCTGTTAATAGGCCATTATCTTGCATATGAATATCCGCGAAGCTACGTCGACGAGCGGTTGTGAATGTGGATGTGACCGTGTACCGGTGAAACGTTCTTCGTCGACGGTTCGTGGTTCTTTTGTCAGTCCCTATTTTTTACGCCTGTGGCGTAATTTTTACACGGTTATTATCATTATCGCCATTAGGAGAGAACGCGCGCGGCTTGACTCACCTTTCGCCGGCGCACACCGAAAGCACACGGCAGTTTTGAGGGTGGTAGGTAGGGTAGGTAGGGTCGCGAAATAAGAGTCATCGCGACGTCTGGAGCGCGGATTGAAACAAAGCACCGCTATTTTGAATAATTATAACTTGCCCTTGCTGCAATCCCCGTTTAGCGAAGCTTTCCCTTTCTCTCTCTCTCTCTCTCTCTCTCTCTCTCTCTCTCTCTTTCATTCGAAAAGCGGCCTCACCCTTTAGATACTCACGCTATCACCGCTACCGACGTTTTAAACGTGCAAGGCATCTCGCCCTACTGGGCTCAGCTGTCTTACGCATCGGTGGATCCATACAAAGCTGGTGGATGTAGGCGAGCGAAAGAGAGAAAGAGAAAGATAGATAAATAGATAGATAGATGGATAGAGTAAGCAAGAGACTGAGAGGGAAGATGAGATCGAGAAGGACAAAATATGAGAGACAAATAAACAAGCGCGGTACGCTGTTAACCCGAGGATATTTTTATACAATAATATGCGCGCGCGCGTATGCTTTCTCCTTTATTGGAAATCGATTTTTTATTTGCTTGATAGCGATGTAAGCTTTTGCGCGACGTGAAAGTTTCGTGTTTCGTCGGCGTTTTCGAAGCAATTTTCGACCCATTCTCTCGCGGTCTCGATATACGCGAACGGTGTTTGGAAGTATTTGAGAGTACCGCGAGCCTCTCTCTCTCTCTCTCTCTCTCTCTCTCTCTCTCTCTCTCTGTGCATATAACGAATAATGTTATCCACGAAACGGGACGGCGGCCGCGAAAGTATTATCCGCGCGTCTCGCTCCGAAAGAACAGTGGACATCGCGGTAAATTAAATCGGAGGGGTGCGTTACTTTGGGGTATAATAAAAAGCGAACCGTACACGCACACGCGTCCGCCTGTGCAAGTTGCGCCGGTGATCTCTCGCAGTCTCTCCCTCACAGATCCGTTTACGCCGGCAAAGAATGATAAAGAAAAAGCGCGGGGCGTTGCGGATAAGCGCAAAGGGGCCGCAAGCATGCCAGTTTGAAATTTCAAATTCATTTACGGGCCTCGTTGTGCTGAGTTTTAATCCTCTTTAATTATGAAAAATCGTCGAGCGCCGTCGCTTACCCTGCTCTACCTACCTACCTACCTATCTATCTACCAACTAACTAACGTACACTCGCTTACTCCGCCCTTCGGCCTCTCTTCACCTTCCAGACATTTCTTCGCGTCACTTTATCATCGAAGCGAAGATCGTCAGTCATTCTCAGCTGTCATATATTTTTCTTCTTTATCTGCGCGATATCTAGTTACTGCAATTATCTTATCGGACTATCGTTGAATCGTGGCACATAATATGGTAGATTTGCATCTTTTGTAGATGTGACAATAGGCGATAGTTTTGGAGTATCTTACAACAGCCGAAGAAGTTGTATCGCGTCGCATCGTGGATTATAATTTGACTCGTGCGAAAAGTCGGGACGTATGCGAGATAAGCGTTTTTCAAAGGATTCGAAGGATTTAACATTAGAGATACGAATGTGTTAGAAGATTTTTGATATTTGATTATTTCTGCTGGAAAATATCTGGGTCAAGTGAAAACGAGAAATCGCGAGAATTAGCCTCTTATTCGGAAAAAGCTCAGACGTTCCTCTGGAAAAGACTGGAAAGTCATTGTAATGAATCTAGTTGTCGTCAAAACTGCTTGTAGCATCGTTGACGTGAAGTCGATTTTCCATATGCAACAGTTTAACAATACTTATGCTAGACGTTAGCAGGAATATTCCACCTCCAAATTTCTCCTTTGCGCTGCAGTTTCTATACTTATATTACTATATCACTCCTATTTATCGATGTATTCAATTACGGCGACGACATGCATCTGTTCCATGACATCTTGAGGTATACACGTATAAAAAAAAATAAGAAGCAGTAGTCGTATCCTTCGCTCGGATATTGCGATAAGAGTATAAATTCAAACTCCTATAACCGGAGCTTTCCATTTTCTCCTTTCGGTAGCCTCACAACGACAGCTTTCGAGCTACAAAATTACGTTATACGCGGCGCGGCCTCGTTTCTAAGATAGTCATTGCAGCCACAAGTAAACTTCCTGGATTAAAAGGAAGCCCTAAATGAACCCGCACGATGCTACGCTCGATGACTCTGGTGATACGACGCGCTCGTGATCTATTTTCCAGCGATGTTGTTACATCAGGACCGGTGCATTACCGCGAGTCTAATCAAAGTCACGAATGTAATTTCGGAATTAAAAACACAATAAGAGAGCGAGAGAGAGAGAGAGAGAGAGAGGCAAGAAACTACAAAGAGAACTTCTGTAATTCCATTAAAAGATATTACAGTATAACGTAACGAATTCGCGGAACGATGTTGCGGAATTATGATACGTATTACGCGCGTAGTTATTTAAACTTATTAAAAACTGTTGTTATACGTATCGAAAGTTTCACCGTGGTTTCGAAGTTTAAGTCGGAAGTTCGATCATTAATATGCGGAGATCGCCGGGCCGCGCGTCCGCCGGCCGTGTGATTCGCCCGCGTCGCGAATCGATCTTCCCCGGCTACGTGTTTCACCAACCTATAACGAACGCGAAACGTTCATTCGTGTAAATCTTGAGAGATTGCGGGGAGAGAGTTGGCGAATCTGCGAGGTGCGAAAGAGCGAGAACTTACTTTCGCGCACGTCGGCCATCGTGTCGTCGGCGAACATCCGCGATGCATCATTCACCGCGCTGCCGTCCAGCACTCTGCACATTCCCCTCAGTTTGTTTAACTTCTTCAGTTCGACGTTCATCAATCTTCGCGTCGACTTTGCTTGCGCGAGTACTTGCCGCCAGTCGAACGTGCGTTCAAACGGCGCGCTCTTTAATTTGGCCAATGCCTCGGCTTGCACTTCTAGGAAATTGTATATAATCTCCTCCTGCGGGTCGGCGAAGGCTTCCTGCTCGACGTAAATGGGACAATTAGGGTCTCATCGATGTCATTGAGACGCGTCGAGACTTGAGAGAGAAATGTATATCGATATTAATCACGGCGGGGGGACTCGGCGCGACGGCCCGTGCTAATTATCCGCGAGAGGAATTTTCACAAGATTAATTGGTTTCTCCTCGACATACTTCTTTCCGAAGAGCGGTTTCCTTCTTAATGAACTCGTCGATCGTTAAACGTCTATCGGTCGCGGAGACCGGCAAAGGAGGCAGCAACAAAGTTTCTCTACGCTGCAGCTGCTGCTTCTGCTGCTGCTCTGGAAAGAGGAACGCGACTGTCTCCTCGAAGATTTTGTCCTGCAGCCTCAGGATCTCCCGTATCTTGTGCTTCTTTGTACTCGCCTCCTGTCGTAATTTGAGAATGGGCGCGCGTTGCCTCTCTATTACGTCCTTCCGCAGACCTTTTTTCTCCAGAATCACTCGCTGCATGCGTTTCTCCTCCATCGACATCCACCGCGATTTGGCTTTTTCGAGGAATTGCCAGGGTCTCCGGCGCTGCGAGACGTCGCACGAAATTAATTTAGCGACAAGGCAAGGGGAAGAGAGCGAGAGAGAGAGAGAGAGAGGGAGACAGAAAGAGAGGTGGGGTTAGTTTCCCGGCTGCACTTGCTTGAGATGACTCGAGACTGAATATCGGCTGGAATTCGCGCGGAGTCCCACCACCGTCGCTATTCACGGGATTATAAACGTTCGATTGGGACGCGGTTATCCACGTTAGCGCGGGATTGTCACCCCGGAGCGTGCCGCGAATGAGGGAGCGCCGAAACTCATTGAATTATTTATCAACGCGGAATATCAGATTTATCCCGTACCGCGCTCGTCGTCGTAGGCGTGACCGTACGGATTGTCTCCTCAACTGCGCCGGCTCTGGTCTTCTCCTCAGGCTTCAAACGCTTCCTCTCGTCCGCCGTGTCGCCCGCGGCCAGTCTCCTCCTCATCTCGATTTCCCCGGGATTTGTTTCGCGCCACACTCTCTGCCAGGCTTTAAACTCGCTTATCTGATCGGCCGGGAAAATAGAAAATCGTATGTATATATGAATAGGCGGAATAAAGAAATTTACTGCCGTCGGCAGTAAAATTTACGGCGAATCACTATGGAAATAACGGCGCGCGGGGACCGTGTGAGCGAGCGGGAGAGGAAAAAGAGACTCCTCTCTTCTGGCCCTTTCCGCTCTTTTTTTCTTTTTTTATGAACATATTCCCCATTAAGATCAGGTGTATTTTTTCGTCTCACGGAAATATAAAGTTTTATGAAGCGTAACGGGATGATCTCTCGCGAAACGTAGCCTCCTTCTTCCGCGCGACTTTTCGTCGAACGACTCGAGACGAGTATTACGCGCGTGCCGTCGCGTCCATTATTTTTATAATACAATGTACCGCTCTCGCTGTGATATACGATATAATTACGTTCGATAATTATCATATGATCGTATCGGCTTCGGTTTTGTCGCTCGATGCCCGTACGCGCGGCTGCTGCCGCGGAATTCTCGTCGTATTTGCATTTCGCGGCCGAGGGGTTTCGAGTTACTCGAAACGAAGCGATGTTCATTCGATCGCTTTACGATGCTGTTACCCTTTGAACCTGCCGATCGACGAACTTTATTATCCACTCGACGTCGCCCACGTCATACGTCATTAAGACCCGCGGCGCGGTGAATATTCTCAGAGCGCCGGTGAAGTCGCAGAAGCCGACGCACTGCGACTCCAACGGCAGATCGTGCGTGTAGACACCGCAGATTATACGACCGGACAGGCTTTGCGTGAAACTAGGCTCGTGGCTCTTCACCACCAGGTCCCAGATCTCCACGGTGCCGTCCATTCGCGCCAAAATCAGGACGGTTGGGCGCAGAATGCCCCACGAGCAAGCCGTGTATCTGCGCTCGAAATGCGGGAGGAAATAATGTCAACTGATTCAACGACACTAACGAGACTAAGAAGATCATTTACAGCGAAGAATTGAAGAGTTTCACAGATAAAAAGCGTATGACCAATTGACACAAATAACAAACGTGACTGTTTGTCGGAGAGTCGCGAGGCAGAAAGAAGGAGGTAAGAGGGAAAGAGAGAACAGCGGATCGATAACGTTTCATAATGATTCTCGCGCGGCGCGGGGCGAGCGCGCGCGCGCGCGCTCGGCCATACATCGAAAATAGCTTTCATTAACAGAGTAACGGCGGCCGAGCGCTGTAGCCGTGAGTTATGATCGTATTGTCATGCAGATCATACCGAAAGTTCGACTCTCGCCCGCCCCCGAAAACTATGCGCGGAGCGTGAAACGCGAGCCGCCTCCGCTGTCGGGTGCTTGCCGGGCAATACGAAACGCTATCGTCGCAATTACATACTGCGCATTGCGGCAATTTATCGCGCGCGGGGTGTTCGTTATTTTTTTACTGCGGATGAAACGCGTGCGCGGCGTGCACGCGGCGCGCGCGTTGCGCCGGCGTTTATGTATATTCATGATTGCGCCTCGTTAACTCGGCGGTATTGACGTTCCTCCTGAAGGAGCAATTTTTTCCGCAGACCATTCCTGCGATCTCTCGTTAGTAGGTTGTTTTAACGCGTAACGCGTTTCGTGCGTTCTCTCTCTCTCTCTCTCTCTCTCTTTCCTTGCCTCGAGATGCTGATATATACACACGGCGAAATCACTTAGCGGCGTAAGAACGTTTACTCTAACTCGCGACAACCGGGAGTTCGATTTGCTTTAACCGGCCGACGCTTGACGGACCTTTTGTCCTTACCACCTACCCGATATTGGACTTCTTCCAAAGGAGCGGCTCGCCAAAATCGTCCCGCCACACAGCGAAGATCTTGCCGCCCACCGTAACGACCAGCTTGTGATAATAGCGCGATCTAACCGAGTGTGTGACCGGGCCGTCGTGCGTCCTCTTCATCCACTGCCAGCGCGCCGTCTCGCGACTCACGCTCACGTCCGTCGCGAATTCGAAGCCCTCCCACGTTATGCAACCGAAATCACCTGTTGCCATCGTTTACGCTTTAATCCACTCTCTAACGCTGTTGATATTAAATTAAAGTCTTATTTAGGCAGAGAAACGGAAGGGCGAGAGCGCGGGAGGAGGGGGGACATATATATGTACAAAGTTTAATTAATCGCCTTTGACGGTGGAGTGAAATTACGCGAGTAACAGTCAACTCGGGGGATTAGTCGTGGCTGGATCTCCGTGTTAATTGTCAACGGCTGAAAATCTAATCGCCACACACACACACACACACACACACACACACTTCACAACGAACACAGACGATCGCGTCGTCGCCGAGTGCTTACCGAGGCGCTATAGTCGTTTAAAGAAGCGATCTCTTAATTATGTTTCGTGCGGTGTGCTAATATTGATGAGCTCGTCTACCTTCGACGGTGCCGACGAGCATCTTCGGCTCCATGATGTAATCCGCCTTCTCGATTATGGGTCTATAGTACTTTCTAATTGCGACATCGTCCCTCCCCACTGGGAACGGTTCAACTTGTTCCACGTGAAACTTCGGATTGTACATGCTGAGCGTCGTTATCACAAGCCGCCGCCTCTCGTCCGGATACTGAAGCTCGAGGATATGGTTGGGCTGGAAGACGCGGTCGAGAATCTTAAAGGGCGACGTCGGCCTCGCCGTCGTCCTCATATGCCATTTCCTCTTTCGCTTGCCGCGGATTTGTCGAACACCCTTCTCCGTGGGTCGCCATCTTTTTTTTCGGAGTGCATCGTTCTCGGTTAGAATCGGATTAATGTTTGCCTCAACTTGTTATCTCATGCCCGATACGGGCAGACAACGCTGAGACACGTCGGTAGTAAGTAGACGGGGAAAAATTTAGACAACTCTACAATACACAGCGAGAAACAGAACCATCCAGGCTACTTTGTTTCGTCTACACGGCGTCTCCGTTGATTCAATTCGCGCGAGCATCTTGTACAATTAAAAGATACAATTTAACGGAGTGCGAGCTTATCTCTGCTGGCGCAACTTTACGCCGTGGCCCTTTGCTTCAGCGAGCAACAACAAGGCGCACGGTAAGGCGCAACCTCGTAAATATCGTACCAATCTCGTGCCGAGCGAGGAAACAATTCACTAGCGCGAGCATTCACGTAGCCATTGTGGCACGACCGAAATGAAGAGATGCCTCCCTTGCACACCGCTGGACGTGTAAAGAGAGCGAGAGAGAGAGAGAGAGAGAGAGAATGCGATCAAGGGGATGAAGGGAGGAAGAGGCAAAACGAGAGATCGGCGAGGCTGAGGAGGTTGGTAGTTGGCAGGTTCTGAGGACTACTCACCGAACAGGAGTAGGGACGCAGAAAGGGTTGGAAGCGAGGACTGAATACCGATCGACGATTATAGAGGGATGGTCTATCTATTTTCGGACCATATAAACGCCAACTTCGGAGAATCGAAGCGGCAGAGCCGAGTTGCAGGACCATTACGGTTCTGCAGACCGGGGAGTTTCTCGAGAAGGATGGAGAGGGGGCGGAGATGGCGGAGAGAACAGAAGACGGGTCGTCGTCTCGCGTCCGGATAGAAGGACGCGAAAGGCAGTCGAACGACGGCGACGACGACGACCGTGGCGTTCGCTCTTTAACGTTCAGCTTGCGACAAGTTTCGCGCCTGTGGAACATTCGAAGTCGCTAACTTTCAGTCTCGAGAGATACGATGGCCCGGACCTTTCCCGTGGTTACCAATTGCCGCTGGCTCAGATCCCTCTCGAACATCACCCGACTATTCGGCCCGCTTCTGCATCTTTAACGACGGAAACGTCAATATAGACAGTTTTTCGCGAAAATCGCGGTAAGACGGCACAAAATGTCACGGATGCGAGACGGCGAGAGGAAAAGAGATATGAAGGAGATGATGATTTTTTTATGCAGCGGTTGAAAACAATACGTTTAAGTTCTTAAATGCAGAGAGAGAGAGAGAGAGAGAGATTTTCGTTTAAAATCACTTCGTTCACTTCAAAATGATTCCATATATTCTCAAATAAGAGCTATCATATTGGATAGATAGAAAGTTTCCTATTTAATCTTCATTACAAAACATGTAGAGCACGCCCCCTAGAAAATACTTTTCGTAAGATATTTTCGCAAGATAATCGTGCATTATTCCATAAGATAAATACCTCTATTTAGTACTCAGCCTCTTAGCTGCTCAGCCATGTAAATATTTAGTAGCACTTAGCCTATTTATCGGCTGAAGGCTATTTTTTCTAGTCTCCTTCTGTTGCTCTACTGTAGGAATTAGTTCTTCCGTTCGCAAGGGATTTTTATTCGATATTAAAAAATGTACGATGTGTGCTCGCAATATCGAGAATGAACTAGGAATACGATCGAGGGAGGGATATACTTGAGGTCCCAGAAGGCGATCGTGCCGTCCTCGCTGGCAGTCACAAACTGCCAACTTAGGTCGTCCAAAGATGCGTCTTCCGGTAGGGACGCGATTCTGCCACTTCGATCCATCTTGTAGTACGAGGGCATCCACGTTATTTGGGTGATAGCCGCCTTCTGGCTGTACAACAGCGAGGACATCGCCGTCGGAGCGACTCGCGACGTCACCGTCACGTCGCGCATCCAAGTCATTAGGCTCTTCATCGCGAGCGTATATTTCTCTTGAGCGCTCGTCCGCGTCACCACCGTCTCCATCTCTTCGATCTTGCCGGGGATGTGCCAGATGGCGACCTGGTGATGGCCGGTGTAGGTGGATCTTAGCTCGATGAGAGTGGGTAATCGGGTAATAGAGAGGAAGTTCGCACGTTTTTGACGGCACAAGTGATACATGTCGACGGAGAGATTTGGAGAAATATGAAGTTGAGGATACGCGGAAACATAATCGATCACCTGGCCGTTCGTGCAGCCGCCTACGACGACACTCCCGTCGAGTGGGCACACGGAGACAGACGTCACTTCTCGCGGACTTTCGAGGATCAATTTAGGCGACAGAAAGTCGTTGAAGGACCATATTAGCACGCGGTTGTCGTTGCCGCTGTCGTGAGTTATGAGCACCTGCGAGAGAAAGAGAGAGGGGAAGAGAGAGAGAGAGAGAGAGAGAGAGAGAGAGAGAGAGAGAGAGAGAGAGGAGAGGGAGAGAGAAGAAAAACGGCGCGTTATTTCCGGCAAGTCGTAGTCGCGTCGTTAGGAGAAGGATTCGTGACATTCTCTTAGTCGCGTCGTTAGACGATTTTAGATTCGCTGGTTTATCAGGAGCTAGCTTTTATGCGAGACAGCGTGTTTGCCACGATGATTGATCAACCTCTTCCTGAGATTTGGGACCTATCAGATGCTCGCTCTTGGCGCGCCGTGTGTAAGCGACCATCGCTACTCCGGTCCAGAACGGATGCCAGCAAAGGTCGTTGACGACTCTGCTCACGGTGAGCTTTCCCTCGTAGTAGCTCTGGTGCTCCGTGTAGCCTATCGGCATCGGTGCTTGCGTGTCCTTCTCGTTGCTCACCAAGTTGGCGTAATCGTTCGTGTAAATATCCCACGTGGAATTCATCAGGATCTAAACGCGGACAGTCGGGAAGCTAATTAAGGAGTCGATTGTTTTTCATTATTAACTCTTTTCGCTTCGGTTTCACTTAGGAACTGAAAGTTGCAGTTTTTTCCCTTAAAGCTTAGATGACTGACATAATTGCAATTAATTATTATATTTGGTTTCGTCGAAAGTGTCTGGCGATTGCCAATCGTTCGTATCATTCGCGAAATGACAACGATTACCTGATCGCACATGTCGTCGGTGTAACGGTACAGAAAATCCTTCAAGGAGTCGATCTTCTCCTCGGGATACGTCGACAGATCGATAGTTTCATATTCGTACAGATATTGGAACCACGAATTGGAGGATATCTGCGACGCCGTTTGAGCCTCGTTGTGTCGCACGAAGGGCGCGACTTGCGTCGACCTGTTTACCAATTTACGCCACACATTGTCAAATATTTGTCGGTACGACAGCAGCTCGATGTATCCGTCTCTTTGATCGCCTGCTCTTCTATCTGCCAGATTTATCGGCAACCCCAGCAAATCGGCGGTGGACGTCACCTGATCAAATATAAAAGATCGCCGTTCGATTCGATTGCGCGCGCGCGCGCGCGCGACGCGAAGCGCGTTGCAGAGCACGGCCGATGAAACAATCCGCCGGGAGATATCGCGCGCTCGCGCGCGCGCGCGCGCGGGGATTTGTGCGAGCCACCTTTTGTCCGCTCGGAATCAGGATAAAGTGATTAATAAATAATTTATTGCAATTTGTGAGTGCCGTATGCGACATTATTTGTCGATTCACTCCGGCCCGATATTTACAGGCGGGATTACTGGAAATTTACGATAATCACTTTAATACCGCGGCTTCGAAATTAATGAACGTGAACCGTCGATCTATCTACCCTACGCGCGTCATCGCTTCGCGTCGCGCTCGGAGCGCGATGGAAATGCGTTGAGGGGGAGAGGGGGGGGGGAAAGAAGAAGCCTCGCGGTCGCAAGACGCGACCTAGCCCGCGAGAATAGCAGCGCGCAACTTGCGCGGACGGGTATGCAAATCGCGAACGACCGCGAAGTTTCGCGACGGCGGCGGAGCGGCCGAAAGTAGCGAGTCCGCTCGAGACGAGCTCGACGTCTCGCTGGAGACACTCGACGTCGGCAGCGTCGTCTCATGCAAGGGACTTGGAAATCCTTCGCAAGAATCCATCGTCGGTGCGAATCTCTCATCGCCACCGAGCATTCACCTCGATCTCGAAGAGCGGCCGCGTGTACTTGACGACTTCAGCGTCGACCTCGGCGCCACTTCCCCAGTCGTACCACCGGCCGACGGGCTTGAATACTGCGACTCTCACGCGATTTTCATGCTCCTCCCGTTGCTCCTGTATCAGCCTTGCTACCGCGTCCTTGCTCTCCTGGGTCAGGCAGATGTAGAACTGCGCGTCCTCGGTGAGCGACGGTGCGTAGCCGATGAGCATCTTGTCTTCCGGGAACGCGTGAATCTCATCCTTCATCGGCAGGAAGTCGCTGCTCTCGGAGTGCAGATCTATATTGTCTTCGATGATCTCCTTCCTCACGTACACCCACGGGTATTCCGTAGTGACATTCTCGCCGATCACGCAGCCGACGATCTTCTGCGTCAACGGCGACAGGTCGATTCTCGCTATGCCCCACATGCCCTGTGAAATCGATTCGATGTGCAAAATCGAGCGATGTGCCTCTCTCGGTCTTTCTCTTTCTCTCTCTCTCTCTCTATCTCTCTCTCTCTCTCTCTCTCTCTTTCATTCTCTGTCTGTAGAATGTAGCGAACGACATTTTTTTTCATTCCCGATTAGATGTCGGAGTGAGCGACAGCGAAATTTGCGTTGTACAATTCCACGTGTAGAATTCCGCGCGTTCCACTGGATAGTCCGATTAGAACTGCTCGGAATTTCGAAAATAGCACAAATCATTGTCGCGCGAAGTGGATATTCACCATCGACACGGAATATCGAACTCTCGGCGTCGGCTCCTTCATATTGTATTTTATTATATTGTATCTCAATATGTTGCCCATCGACGAGTCAGGAGTGGCGTAAGAGGCGTAGGACTCAAGGTCGTAGATGGTCTTCCGTCTCCTCATCGCCGGATCGTGCATCTCGATGCGAATTTTCTTCTTCGCCTCTCTCTCCCAATCTCGCTCAGCTGGAGGAGAAAATGGAGAAATGCGCGCGAGAGCTGTCCGCTAAATTTCGCGTCCCCCTTTCTCCCCAACGGGTCATTTAAATAGACTAATCGGATATGCGTTCATCGAATTCGCGTATTTGACTAATATCCGAATGAAATAAAATCAATAATCCTCCTCGTTATTATAAGCCCGGCTCGCTGCTTTAAATCCGCGTCATTCATATTTGAACATATTTACGGTCGACTAGATTTACGTTTCATTGTTAACACTGCGCGTAACTTTTACCCGACACGCGTATCCGATACGCATCATCGATCTTCGTTCGGTACATAATTTTAACCCATTCGTTACAAAGTTCCAATATTGGTACATTCGACATTATCGACGTTCTTCCACGCGGCATCGTATACGCTTTTAATAGCGTATTTCCATCGGGCAATATTTGCTTTTTAAATGAACGTGTAAACAAAATATGTTAATTGCACATAGACCCCAAAAGAAAATTCCACCCGTATAATTCGCGTCGATATCCCGCGACAGTACATGGCGCACACACATGCAGACCTTTTATTTGGGATGTACCGCTGCGCATTTGATCAGTTATTATTGTCGCGATCGCGTTTCCGAACGTCACGTTCCGAACGTCACGAAACGTACGCGTGTTATAACCTACACAGTTCCTCCTCTCCCACGTCCCATTCTTCGCCCTCGTAAGATCTCTTCTCCTCCTCGTCGGAGGAAGGTTGTTCCATCTCGAAAGAGTCATCATAGTGTGCGTGCTCCAACTCGTCTTTGTTCTCCTTGTTCTCGTCGGACTTTTCGTCCTGCCGCGGCGTTCCTTCGTCGTTCGGACGCGTTTCTTCGTTCATGGCGCAGCACGGCTCGTCCGATTATTTGACGTTTCCGAAAGCCGACGGTGCCGATGAATTCAGCGCGACTTGGCGCGGATATAACGCATCCACGCGCGCACGCGTTCGCATGTAATGCGCGTACTGCGAATCGATCGGACGTGCGGCGAATGTAACGCGAATGTAACGCGAATGATGAGAGCGGGTCCACGCGCGCTCGACGTGCCAGAAGCAGAGAGAAAGAGAGAGAGAGAGAGAGAGAGAGAGGAGGGGGAGAGTCGCGAAAAGGCAGAAGAAACGAGACGATCGTGCGAAACGAGTGAAATCGGGGCTTGCCGGTGTGTAACGACTTTTTTAATCCAAGGGACTATATAACATCGATAAAATCGCGGCCATACGGCGTCGGCAGTCGCTACAGTCGCGGAGGCTTAACGAAATTTTGAGTCGAGTACATTTGCAGTTTGATTGAACATTGAAATCTCGGGTTTCACGGCGGCGAACCTAGCCCATCGGCGGCTCGCGAGCGTGAGCGCGAACACTCGCGAGCGTTCACGTACGCTCGCGGACGAGGTGGATGGGATGTGTTTCGGAATATCAATTTTTCCCTGTGAAATACGTGCGCGAGCGCGAGAAGGGCGATTTAATTGTTTTTACATCAGGGCGAGCGAAACGGGTCGCCCGTGCACTTAACCCATCTCGCAAATTCGATACACCGCAAGCATTGTCAGCAGCGCTGACGAAACGGTTTGTAACCCGATGAGTAATTTAATCGCGCGGCGGCTAATTCGTCGAGTTTAAACACGACGCTTATTCGCTAATTGATAATACGAATGAATCGGACGATACACTTAGCGTAAACATCGCGAACGGGTTTGCCAACGGATTTACGAGCTGTATGACGCGCGGCGACGACGACGGTGAGTTAACGCGTGACTCGGCGGTTCTCCATTGCGGTGGTTCCGTTACTCACTTTTGTTATTTCACTTCTCACCTCATTCTCGCGAGTGGAGAAATTCCTTGCCGCATTTTCCCCCCTTTTTTTTCTATCGCTAGAAACACTGAATAGCGCGTTGTGCGCTAAAGAAAACAATTATTTTCCTCTACAATTATCTGAATAAAACATGATGCGATTGCAGCGCGCGGACTGGCTCGCACAGTATTCCGGGATTGTAATTAAAAGGCTCCCATCCGCGCGGCCCGTTGAAACGCAATTACGAGCGGTATAAAATATTGCCTGTGTGTTGGTCAAAGCAAACTTTTGCTCGTCAAATGTAATAAATTGCCGTGTGATAACGCGACTTTGTCACGCGACGGTATCGACGCGGTGATCTTACGCGAGAGAATTTGGCAAGGGCTTTAATCGAGCCGTGGATATAATAATATAACTAGCGTTAATTCTCAGATAGAGGGTGAGAGAGAGAGAGAGAGAGAGAGAGAGAGAGAGAGAGAGAGAGAGAGAGAGAGGGAGGGAGGGTGGGAGGGAGAGAAACGTAAAGACAGAATACGCGCGAGCTGCGCTTTGTACCGAGCTGCGTTCCACCGATAATACCGGCCGTACGTTACAAAAAATGCTCGTAACGCGTGCATTTAGCAAAATATACACGAGAAGAGAATATACAGAGCAGAGAGTGTGTGCGCGTGTATGTGCGTGTGTGTCACGCGTATCGCGCGGAGATATTAAAGTGACGTTAAATTCGCCGGCGCGTCGAGAAATTTACAACTTATTCTTCGCGATACGGCAGTGAGACAAATTTACCTTTGCATACATCTTAAATTCCCCGCCGTTACGATGCTTGTGGTCGCGCATGCGGGAGGGGAGCCGCGCGCGCTAAGCACGGCGGCAAATATTTATACGAGATTACGCGGACGTAGATTACGACTTTATCCTTTATCCGCGATGTAGAGCAGTACACTGTACTTTTGCCCGTAAATATGATTAAAAATATGTAAATTATCGAATACGAACCGTACGCGCAAGCCGACGGACGGTAGCTAAAATAAAAGGGACTCTAGATGACAAGAATAAACCGATGCAAATGCGCACTGATAGCGCACTCTGGTAATCAAAATTTATGGGTCGTTTACGCTTAAAATATGCAGTATTTGATGTGTATCCGCGCACTCTCCCACGCATTACTTTATACATAATACATAGACCTACTTCCGATTTTGAAAGTATCCATAACGCGCAGCCATTAGAGGCACGCGATAAGTATCGTTTTTACGATTTATCCTTGCATTTTCGATTCCCTCTGATGCGTAAGCGCGACGCGCGTGCGCGCGTTTTCTTGAAAAATGTACTTTATATCGGGCGCACACCGGTGAGTCGTAAAAAGAAGGAGAAGTGTCGGTCGCTCCCTTTTAAAGGCATTCAGTTAAGAAAGACTGAATTTTTGCGGAACGATATTGCATAGCTTGCGGGTTACAGTTCTCCGCTGCTTCTTTTTATATTCGGGAGATCCTTTATATTGCCCTTACTTATTCGTCATAAAACGTGTGTATTAAGTCGTAAGGTGGATCAGCTTCAGCGGAAATGGAAACTTTGACCCAGCTAAAATCCGCGGCTATAACTAATAGAACGATGAACACGATTCTTTTTGCCTCTCGCTTAATTGGTTTATTCAATTGATTGTTTGTTAGCCATAAATTTATAATGTTGGGCGCGCAGTTAATCGTACGCGATATATTTGAATCAATGAAACGAATCGAGATTGCATAATTAATTAATGTTAAAATTAATTGATTTCATTTATTTTTATCTGCTTTTTGTTTTTCTTCTTTTGTTTAAGATTGTTCACGGCACGTTCGGAACACGTCGTCGATGTCGATGCAGTGGCCGATGTAAACACACAGTTCAGGTAATGTTCTGCACTTGTTGTTTAGGTGTTTTCAAGGCAAACCCATCTGGATGGATAATTGGTCGAAAAGTTTCCGATTTAATTACCGCGATAACGATTTTAGCGTTGAGTACGATAGTTGCGCGGACGTATGTTCGGCGATAGGTATTTCCAACGTTTCGGTAGGCTCGTAATCGGCGATTCGCAACCATTGGAAAAATAGATTCCCCGGCGTTTAGACAATTTGGCCTCGCAGCCGGACGGGCCGTACGGCGATTAATCAATTGCAAATATATACCACGTAGATTGGAAATACACGCTGCCTATTTCCTGTTTAATCGAATCAAATTGAGATGGTATTTTCCCTGTGTCCGGTCTCTCCATTTATCGGGCTGAAATGTCGAGTGGCGGTGCTTTCCTCTCTCGCCCGTAGAACGTAAACGACCCAAAATGCGTTCACTGGCGATTGATCGGTCAAAGGGAAAACCACGGAAAGTCCTTGCCGCATTTCCGAGAGAGGAAAGTACGTACGGGAAAAATAGTCGACCGTATAAATTGTTTCATGCTAATTATCGCGGGAAAGGGAATGGTTATCGCGCATTGATAGTATGCAGAATCCAGTTCTCTCTCTCTCTCTCTCTCTCTCTCTCTCTCTCTCCCCCTTTTGTGAAAAACGTCAGACATTCAGAACGTATCGTTTTTAAATCGCATCAGTCGAGGTCTATTTTTCGACGTCACCGCAAATATTTTACGAAACCTCCTTATCTCTATTTTTACCGCTTACCGTATATATCCGCCGTTAAATTTATCACTCGCAGCGCTCACCGCTCGCGTCTTTCTCCCGCAAAGAGAGAACTGAAGATAATTTATTTATAGTGAAACGCTGCGTAAGTAGCCGGGCAGGACTTTAAGTGGCACTTTCCTTCGCGAAGGATGCAAAGGATGTTCCGTTGCAAACAGATGTTAAAATACTCAGAGTTCCGCGCGCGCACGCACGCGAGAGAGAGAGAGAGAGAGAGAGAGAGAGAGAGAGAGAGAGAGAGAGAGAGAGAGAGAGAGAGAGCGAGCGAGGGAGGGGGAGAGGAACGCGGCGTGTTTACTGCCGCGTTTATTTCGAAAATTCAGAATAGAGCACTTTTTTAAGTCCCGCCGGACGGAACTTTTACGCTGCTTTTGTAGTAGTCGACTGCACAGCGCGATGCGGCGGCGGATACTTTATCGTTCTAGCTTTTATTCCGCTAGTTCGCTCGCGCGAGTTCGCCGGAGCTCCCAGTGGATACAAGAGAATCGTCCGAACGAACGCGCGGCGCACAGGCGAGCATTGAAAATATTGGGTTGTTTTTAACGCCACCGTTCATCCCGGGCGACATGAATTTTTACGACGATTTGACAGCTGCGAGATTTTCATATGAAAGGACCTCTCGTCGGGCCCACTCTGCAAAATTATTTGCGCAGTAAAATTTATGCTTCCAACCGGGCACAGGCATTGGGACGGCTCGTAGACGATACGAGCACGATCTCGATACTTTCGAGCTGTGCATGCAGAGAAAACCTCGTCTCGAAAAAAGTGTATGCTTCCGAAAAGAGAAGTACGAGCAAGCATAAACCTTTCCCTCTGAATAATTCCGAAAATTGTAGAGACGCCCCGTTGTACAATTGAGAATTGCGAAATCAATCTTTGATCGTGCGCTAATCACGTGTCTGCTCCGTTTGCGCTATCGGGTCGTAAATTTTTTCCGACCGAGCGTCTAACGCGAACCCGAAATACAATGCAACCAAGGCACTCGTCGAATAAGCCGTCGACCGATTTAATTTTGTACCGTCAACCGTCTGCGCCCGCTAGCATTTAGCGCGACTTGGTCGCGCTCTATTTTCACTTCCATTATGAATAATACCGAGGTAGTTACGTATAAACGGCCGCGGCTCCCTGTGTTACGATTTACATAACGCCTTTTTGATCGGTGAGGCTATAATGGCAACACGACGCGACGTGCCGCGATATCGGCACGAAAGAGATGATCCGTCGTGTCTCGAGGAGATTTCAGCGTGTCGTGAATATGAGAAACGCGATGCCATGCATTCAGAATCAAAAACTGCGACCGCGAGTCAATCGATCCGCATGTCGAATACAGAATTAACAAGGTAGGATAAATACTGCGATACTTGTCGAGCTCCCTCCTGTCG